GACTATAAGAATATGCAGTAAAAAATATGGTGTTTCTTTTAAAAAATTCAAGGTGCTTTGACTTCACCTTCACGACGCCAGCCAGGGTCAAACTAATGAGACTATTTAATAGACCTTTTTAAATCCTACAACTTTTATTTGAAACATTTTTTTGTATAACTTATATTTTTTTAGATTTTTTAGGGTTTCCATACTTTTTCCTCACCCTGTATATTTTAAAAATTTAAGAAAAGTTTAAGAAAAAGAGAAAAAGTATATAATTGTATATATTTTAATAAATATTTTTATAATATTTATGATAAAATTTATGATCTATTGAAGATAATATCATAAAAATACTTACGAAATATTTTGATAAATATTTATAAAATATTCAAATAAATCTTATAAATATTTTGTAAATATTTTATAAATATGTTGTGCTGTCTAGGTATATATGTTTCATTCTTTTAATTTACAAATTACAAAATTATCTTGTAAATTACAAATCCGGATGCTACTTTCATATGTCCATTGAACGTCCATCGGATATCCTGTGGACATGTCGAGGACTTTAACATGTCCTCCAATTTCATAAACGGATATCGCACAAACGTCCATTGAATGTCCGAAGGACGTAAAACGGATGGCTTATGGATATCCTCAATATCCTTAAAGGACATCTTATGGATATCCATTGGATATCCATGTGCTATCTGGGTATATTACATTTTCCAATCATTTGTATATCAATCTGTATGTCACTCCTTTACGAACTGTCGGGAAATGAGTTATATATACTTTACACAGTCTAATAAAGAGTTAAAAAATAAAAAATTCAGTTTTTCCTGGAGTAAAGGGACTAAATATACAGGGTGAGTCATTTTAGTCTATGGATCCGAATATCTTCCAAATTACGGTATCTACAAAAAAATGGTTTAGATAAAAGTTAACCAGGACAGAGGGGGTCATTCAATTGTACCATTGGTTTTGACCTTGAGGTCAATTTTGAAGGTTACTTCAAGGTCACGATGGTTTTTTCTAATGGGACACCCTATTTTTGACTGCGGATTTCGAAAGAGCGGAAAATTTT